TTTTGAATCATTCGCTGTCAACGTGACAAGGCTGACTGACAAGATATCTTTCGCCACTTTGTTACGGCCGTCATGTGACTTGGTCGCCGGACAAATAGTGCGGGAGATATACGTCCGGCGCGCCGGACGTGTAGACACTGCCAAAAATTTAACTTATTGTTGTTATATTGTTTTATATTTTACATATTATTATTCTCTGTCTAATTTCCTTTAATTTGATATGAAATACAGCTATCTTGCTAAAAGAAATAGATAGGAGCACCCTAAAAAATTTACATTGGCCGAATACTGGTCTGGCACGAACGTGGAAAACCCCCTGGCATGGAAAGAGTTAAGTTGGTATTTTTCACTAGTTCTCCAACCTACTTGGTACTCTGTTCTTATTAAAGTAGCAGTTGGTTTTGTGCCGCGTCTATGCTGTATCAATTAAATATTGTTTTGATAGAGTCAAGTGAAGTTAATGAGGTATGTCTTCTTGTATAAGTATAAGTAGGTACTTTGGTACCAATTTTTTTTTTTTTTCAAATAAACCAATAGCATAGTTAAAAAGAACTAATTTTAAACAAAATAATGACACCAAAATTAAGTTTCTAGCATTTTTAGTTTAAAAGTTATGAATTTTTAAAGTTTAGGGCTGTTTGGTATTTTTTCCTATGTATTTTCTTTCCACATTTTGTGACCCGTTTTGGGTCGTTTTTAGTTTAAGCTATAACTCTGTAAAAACTTAATGAAAAAATCTCAAATTAACAGGGATGATACATAATCATTAAATTTCACAGAAAAAGCAAAAAAAAACTGAATATTTTCATGAAAAGACATTTTTAAAATAAATTTTGTTAAAATTTATCAAAAATTGAAAAATGCGCAATATTTTATTTCCTTTCAAAATTTGTATCTTTTTTATTTTCAAAGTTTTTAAAGTCACATTAAGAGGTATTACGCTTTGTATTAATTATTCTTCTACCATGCCATTAAAACTTAAAAAAGGTCCATGCAATTTTTTTTATTTTTCCATGTATAGGGTTATAGATCAAATTTGTTAAACACAAAAAATTATCAAAATTGTTAATTGACAAAAATAAAATAAAATTAGCTGTTTAAATAAAAACTAAAGCTAACAAAATTAAAATAGCCAAGCAAAAAATCAGTGCTTGCAATATGATTATGATGTAATTTGTAATAAAACATGCTTCCATTCACTGTTAGTCATGCAGGATTTAATGTCTATTAAACTATTGTAAAATATCCCTCATAATGATTTCACAAAAAATGTAACACTTGTGTAAATAGAATACTTATTAAACCTTCCTCTAGTCTTAAGAATTGATAATATTTAGGTCTAAAGAATTACCATTTTAAATACATGTTTATATAATATTTGAAAACAAAATACCATGTGGGTCTACAGGATCAGTGATATATAACAAACTTGGAAGGGGGGTGGGGGGACCATTAAAAGTTCTATCATGAATTTCAACATTAATTCACAAGTAAGCATGCATGGCATTCTCAATCATCAATGAATCAATGGTGTACATCAATAATTATTAGTTGATTTCTTCAGCAATTTGTGCTGCAAAACAAAAGTTAGTTTCAGAACAGAATAAAATATTTTTAATCATGTTCCTACCATTCCCAGCTTTAGTATTATTTTACCAAGGCCACATCATGTCTAACTTTTATTTTTCTAATAACATACATTATAGGCAATCCTCTGAAGTCCGGTCCCAAATTATTTCCAATGATTAATCCTTACTTAAAAGTCTTGGGCATCATTCTGTTTTGAAACTCATGTTTGCGTTAGTGGACGATGTTAGATGGAGGTTGTTGGCCGTCCAGATGCGCATTATCACTAATCATGTGTTACCAGGAACAACTACCGTCACGGACACTTGGCGAGGATATCAAAATGTCGGTCAGCTCAACAACGGGATTTATGCTCACGCTGTCATTGTGCACGAGCGTGAATTTGTTGATCCAGTAGACCAGGAGATTCACACTATTTAAGGACTTTGGATGCAAGCAAAACGTAAACTCCGCTATCAGAGTGGTAGGCCCGCTAGTCGCGATCTGTTTGCCAGCTACTTTCAGTGGCGCAACAGTCACCAGCAGCACGTTTTCGGCTGGTATTAGCAAATGCTATGTGCCAATGACAACATTTAGTATTTACTGACTGGTTTGTAAAGTTACCGTTATTACATATCTGCTGTTTTCTAACAATACACACTGTGCATTGCAGTTTTTTTCATACGAAACAATTTGGGACCGGACTTCGGAGGATTGCCTATATTATATATTTATAATATTTTCTCTTTTAATATATAATTCAAAAAAAATAAAAACAATAAAGTAAAATAATTGCAATCCTTTTTTTTTAATTTTGCAAACGTAAACACCCAGTAAACCCTAAACAAATTCAAGTGCAGTCTTTCGCACACACCTCTCTCTCTCTCTCTCTTCAACTTCTTCTTCTCCTCAGATTCTATTATTTCTATTTTCAGTATCAGTATCAGTATCAGGCTTAGGCTAGGCATCTGCTTCACATTATACTGCATAATTTATAACCAGTTGTGCCATGATACTTTGCACAGGTCGTTCAAATTATAAATGAGAGATTTGAATTACCACACGTTCTGCTTGCTTAAGAGAAAGCAATTATTATAATTATAACAGTGTGAAATTTGTTGTCCCTGTCAACGGTTTGCACACTACACTACTTAAACTATCGTTGGTGTAGTAGTGAAATTGAGGCAAAGACACCATGAGTCATGACCCATATTCGCATTAAAAGTATAATTCTGTCATGTATAAATGATTTAACATCTAAATATTTAATTAGTAATGGCATAAACCCAAATTAAATAAATATAATAATTTGTGAACTGAGCTGATAAAGCGTCTTCCGACATTTTGAAGGGGGCGGTGGTCGCAGCCATCGAAATTGGGGTAAGGGACCTGCATAACCTACGAACGCGTAGAAACATGGCGTCTCTCGTAAACAACACATCGCTGTGAAAATTGGCATACATGTAGATCAATACATTCCCCAGATGCAAAAAAAATTTGGTAGTGACAAATCTTTTACTTCGGCTTAATTTTCATGATGAAAGTTGCCTTATATTTACCTAGGATTCTCTAAAAGTTGACTGATTGTAAATAACATAGAAATCGATTAAAATGTAGGCCAAGATGTCAAAAGATAAGGCCGGAAACGGAACTCAAAAATATTTCGAAATGACTCATTTAATAATAAATAGACACACATCGGAAAATTAAAAACTCGGATTTTTCGGTGCCGATTGCGAATTCCCATACACAAAAAAAGTAGTAGTCTCCCTTGACTTACCGAAGTATCTTGTATAAGGTTTCAAAAATCGATTAGATTCTTTAAAAATTGCTATTTTACAGTGCACAAAGAATGTGGCTTATTAGAGCAAAATTGAAAAGACGTGGGTGCTGGATTTTTTCTTGGCCGACGCTAAGTGGTAGATTATCTATAGAACTATATTTAAAATAGAATTAAAAATACAATAAAATTATAAACATAAACGTATTCTTACTTGCTTTTAGATGTACGTCACATCTTTTTCGTGTTTCTTCAAGGCTACCGGTTGATGAAAGTCTTCAAAATATGACACATTTCTCGATTAATAGTAATGGCTTTAAGATGGCAAACCAACAGGAAGTATTCATCATAATCGTCACGTGACCAACCGAATGTTAAAAAGCCCTCATGTGACCAGCTGGGTCCGAATAGCCAATTAACTACTATAGGTGCCCGGGTACCTATAGCCACTCCGTTACTTTAATCCAATGATTTATATTCGGGGCCACTCGCATATGACTAACGAAAAAAAGTAAAATACAAGACACTTACCCCCCCTCCCAACTCTTTAATCTAAATTCATCCGGCCATTTTGGGCATACCCCACAACCCCCCCCCCACACTATAATGCGTATGTTCAATGTTTTTTTTGTTCAAAAATAATTATATTCATAAACAATGTTCCCTCTAAGGTTTGCTGGTTGTGCAAAATCATACAGTTGTGTGCAAAGTTTTACAGCATCGATTTTTTGTGTGCAAAATTTTACAGCCCACAAATACAAACACTCACTTGCATGGAAATTTGCTGCGCGGATACTCAAAACTGCTGCGCAGCGTCTGTGAGTAGCTGCGCGGCCGCGCAGCCACGCAGCTTAAATGGAACATTGTTCATAAACCATTATGACGTGAAATACAATTAGTCAAGGCAACGTATTCCAGCGTTTCCTAACTCCCTCCCCCCAACCTCCACAGGGAGGCAATTTGTAGATTTTAGGGGGATGTATTATACGGGACGGTGGCGAAGGAAAAGGGGTGGATTGGAGAATCGTTTCGCCCTGGGCATCACTACTATGGAGGGGCGGCATTTTCGTCCAACTGCTTTTCGTGGGGGGGGGGGTGCGGGATGCACTAACCCTAGCTAGGCCACGGCTCTGGGATAAAAGAAATGTATTTGCTTCTAAATGGGAGGTGTGTGAAGTGTTAAACATGATATATTTAAAAGTTTAACCTCCTTTGTGTTTTTTCTTTGCCGTGTAATTTAAAATAAAAATGTATTTTACTTACTTTTGCTAGTTTTGTCCTAAAATTATGAATCTTAAGGTCTAAATGGCAGCAAAATTATTACAATAACATTTAAGAGTAATTGTGTCACCACACTGGGGCCATCCATAAATGACGTCACGTGCCGGGGTAGGGGGATCAGTAACTGTGACGACATGGGGGGGGGGGGGGGAATCACTGTAACATCACACAAACTTAATTGCAACAAATTGCGCTTAATCACATAAATTTCTCTTAGCTACACGTTCACGGGCCTATTGATTTTAGGACTCCAGGACTTGCCTAGGCGCAGCTCTTCTTACTTCTTTCGCTCGGCTCTGGTTTGACACAATGACTTGATCCGTAACTTTAGGACGTGTCCATAGTACGTAGTGATAGATTATACAAAAACGAAAGTGTAAAGAAAAGATAACCACGTGTACCTTATCATTGCGTTCAGAAGAGAGGAAATAAACAAAAAGCAGTGAAGAACTCAAATGTTAATGTTGTAATAGAAACAAACTTATTTCAGGTTGCTTTACTTCCAGACATCCCGAGACTTTTCGACTTATACTTATAATGCCTAAAAATAAAAAGAAATTTTCCAATAGAAAACAGAAGGTACGCCGGTAATGAATGATTAATAATTAATGAGACAGACATGGATGTGATTATAATCATTAATGACATTAAATAATCATAATGTGATGAGTGAGAATTGAGTTGACTTCCACTTGGTCTTTATTCAGTAGTGACTTGTCTAACGGCACTAACCCTAACACTGTTTTTAGTTAGACTGTTACTACTGTTGGTATTAGTAGTAGTTAGTTAAAGTTAAAGTTAAGTCAATGAAGGCACTCGATTAACTGTCCTACTAACTATTCTAAATAGCATTTTATTTTTTCTTTAACTTTTAGCTGACTGTTATTTTTATGTTATTGACTTAGACTTCCTAAGTTAAGTACTAAATAACTAAATAAATTTAAATTATTATTTATTTTATTAATTAACTCAAACTAGAATTAAAGTTCAGCTAATAATGAGGTAGGGCTACAGAAAACACTTGTTCAACTGACAACTGGTGTGCTGTAGACTGCAGAAGTACCAAGGAGGCAACTTGAAGAAGAATAAGATTAGAAATTTATTTACAGTACCGGTAATATAAAACTATATAGCCTATTTAGTTAAACTAAGATTTTTAAAATAAAAAGTTAAATCACAAATTTCTTTCTTTACAATCAGCAAAACATTTGCTTCTTTTCTTGGTAGGGCTACTAATTAACTCTCTTAAGAAAAACAGCAAACTAACAAGCCAGAGCTTATTAAGTTTTCACCAATGTACCCCCTCTTCCCCCTAACCCAACTAGCTTAATTCTAGTCTGGCCACAAAGCAGCATGTTGGGGACATTCCGCAGCTGAGACAGCCCCACCTGCCTTTCACTCGATTGACTGTGTGAGTGGGACGGCATTGATGAAGGGACACCTGGTCCGCTAGTGGTGCTGCTCTCACAGCACCTGCAGTTGAACTTTCTAGGGGTTGGGATGGATATATTTTAATGTCATGAAAAACACCCCTTCCCATTCCGGGGTGGTGTCAGACGCCCTCTAGTAAGGATTTCTACATGTGGTTTAACTAATTATTATGACTAGCAGTTGAAGCAAACCTTGCCTTGATGGCTTGTATATTTGAGATTGAAAGGGGTCATCAATATCCTACCTGCCTTCATGTGACATACTTTATGTAAAATGTCAATTAAAATTTTAAAAAAAGAAGAGAAGAAAAAAATCAAAATCTATGCTGCAATTAAACCCCTATGTTTTGAAAGAAAAATATATGGAAATGCCAACATCCCTCACTCATATGCTGTTGACCGACAAAAGAGACAATTATTTATGTTTATTCAACATTTTAAAAAAACACTTAAAATATGCTATCTGATGGGTTGAAGCACACAAGAACTACCATAGTCCATAGTTCTTTTATTAATGTGTTTAAGGAAATTTACCGTTGTCATGGACAAATAATTAATAGTAAACTGAGAATTAAACTGTAATAGAATTCAAATCTGTCAAGCCACTAAGATAATCCCACCTTTGCAAAGCCTTAAACTTCAAGCATTGAAAAGGTACCTTTTTTTTTTTTTTTAGCATTTTAACCGTTGTGGGAAAGTTGGTGAAGCATTTGACCTTGGAAAGGGCGCCACTGAACTTTTTGTCAAGCCAATAAGATAATACCACCTTTTCAAATACTTAAACTTCAAGCATTGAAAAGGTACCTTTTTTTTTTTTAGCATTTTAACCGTGGTGGGAAAGTTGGTGAAGCATATGACCTTGGAAAGCGCGACAATGAACTTTTTGCTAAATATTACAAGGTATGAATTACACTAACAAGGATGATTAATGTGTTAATATTACATATATTATAGTTTGATTCTTAACTCAATATCTTCCATAAATGCATTTTTGTATAGGTCGTTGTAATATTTTCTGTGATAATAGTTGTTATTTTTATTCTTTCCTAACTTTGAAATAATAATTTACATAAACAGGGTCAAAACATCGTTCCAGAAAATGAATGGGAAGAATTTTATGAAACCTTAAAAAAAACTTTGCCTGTGACCTTTCGAATTACTGGATATAGGTATAGTATATACTAATATTAATATAACTTTGTTCTTAAAAATCAATATTTTATTAACCCTTACTTATTCATTTATATATTACTAGAATAAATGACCTGATGCTATCGGGATAATAATGGTGGGTCCTATGCGATAACTTCTAACTGCTTTTGCAAAAAACTCATTTCAACTCATAACTTTTAAAATGTAATGATATATTTAGGTTTCTAACATCATTAAGTTTTGAAAAGTGTTTATCTGCTATATATGATACGCGTACCCTACACCCTTTACGCTCCTAAACTAATTTTCCCCCTCTATATCATTTTGGTCACTAAAGAATTTAACTGAGGGACAAATTCTACGCTAGAGAAATACTTAAGATTTACCCCATTTTGTGCCCTTGAATTACAACTTTTTTTCTCTCAAAATTTGTTAAAAACCTAATATTAAATTTATAACAAAAGTTCTATACATGATATAAATATAATTTGTATTACAGGAATTCGATATATAGTGATATCTTCATCAAAAATTTAAACACATTTTTTACTTTTTAAAAACTATACATCATCAGAAAATCGTAAAACAAAAATTCTTTTATCCAAGAAGAATCTCACAACTGTTTTTCATGCCTATATCAGATTTGACTGTCTTTTAAAAAAATTAAATTGTTAATCTCATAAAAATACACACCTCTTTACTTTTTGCAAAGTAACAACAACCATATATTTTCATTTTTTTTTAAAAAAGAAAATATTAACCCATCTTCATTTGTCAAAATTTAATTTTCAAGTGTGTAAAATGATTGGGTTTTGATATTCATGAATACTCGTAAATAAATGTACCCAAGCTTTGTTAACACCATTGATTTTCTTAATTGGTAAACATATGTTTTTTTTGTAAAAAGAGAATACAACATCTATTTTTTCACAAATGTAATACCTTAGGATTTAAATATATTGTCATCCTTTTCCTACTTCCGATATTCATGTACCCAAGAAGGTTATTTATTTATCAAATTCATTCCTTTATTTTGGGACGTATCTGGTATGGCCCTGGGCAAAATTAGAACATACTAATATTTATAAAAAGAGAATGTAGCATCTTATTTTTTCACAAATGTAATGCCATAGGAGTTAACTCTGTTGTCATTCACGTAAGAATTTAAACATCTTATTTCCTACCTCCGACATGTATTTACCAAAGAAAATTAATTATTTATCAAGTTCATTCATTTATTTTGAGACTTATCTTGTGCTGCCGTGAGCAAAATGAACATACAAATATTTATAAAAAGAGAATGCAACATCTCTTTTTTCATAAATGTAATACCATAGGATTTAAATATATTGTCTTCCACGTAAAAATGTACACATCCTATTTCCCACCTCCGATATGTATGTACCCAAGAAGGTTAATTAATTTATCAAATTCATTCCTTTATTTTGAGATGTATTTTGTGCTACCTGGGGCAAAGTGACCAACCCCTCCCCACCCAGATTTAAATAAATTTAGAAAATCTTCCATCGGATTGTAGTCCCTTCCGTACCTAAAGTAACATATTTCGCACTTCATATGGTTCGTTCTTATTTGTATGAGTTATAATTGGATTAGTGAATGCTATTTAGCTATGGAGTTGAGTTGCACTGATTGACTTAAACCGCATTTTCTAATTAGAATTATATTTGAAGGTTAGTTTTTATTACTTTATAAATTTAATGAAATTATATTTTTGAAATTAAAAAAGGCAAAATTTTTAAAATTTAAAAATATACAAAGCAAAAATGTGTGTGTGTTTTATTAACAATTTAAAAAGCAATCAATATTTATTAATTTTACTTTTAATAAGGGAAAATAAATTATCAGTTTTGTCTGGCAGGGTTATTAAATTTAAAGGAACCTAAGAGTTTTGGTGTAATAGGGTATTCCAGCCATGATGTCATTTGCATGATTATTTAGAACAAATTAATATTAATTTTATTTATATTAACAACGCACTAAAAGATGCACAAAAAAATGACTGATGCTTGGGTTTTCCTGATAAATATGATTAAGGTGTAATTCTTTGATAATGATTTATTATTTTTTAATAGCTTTAAAACACATAAAATGCTTGAAATAATTCCTTGTTTAATAATTTAAATGTAAATGTATTTGTAATTTATAATAATAATACTTAAACTTTTACTTTTGCCCTTGTTATTTTAAAACTGTCCAATTTTTTATTGAAAAGGTACATTTTACAATATTTTTATAATTTAAATAATTTGTATATATTGGTTTTCAGTCAGTCTGCAGAAATGTTAAAGAATATAAAAGGGAAATTTTTTGACAGCTTGTTAAATGTCAAAGTAGAAGAGGAAGATGTACCACCTCCTAAACAGTTGCCATGGTAAACAATTTTTCATTTAGTGAATGTATTATTTTTATTATTATTTTTTTTTAATTTTCTTACATACATTTTTTAAAATTAATTATTTTTCATTTACTGTGAAATAAAAAAAATTAGAACAAAGTTTTATTTTCATAGGTATCCCAATGAACTAGGCTGGCAACTTGATCTCACTCGCAAATTTGTGAGAAGTAATGAGATGTGCTCTCGTCTTCATGATTTTCTTGTTGCGGAAACTGAATGTGTAAGCCTCTTAACTATCATATAATCTATGAAAAAAATGAAAGAGATCTAATCTAATATTGTATATTATAAACATATATTAATTATTTTCAATTGTCCTTGGATGTCATTATATTTATAGCGCTATACAAAAAAAAGAGTTAAAAATAATCTTTGCTTTCAAATTTAGGGAGCAATTAGTCGTCAAGAGGCTGTCAGCATGATTCCACCTTTAGTTCTGGATGTCAAGTCCCATCACAAGGTATTATTTTCAGTCCCTTTTTTTAACATGCCATTGCAGTCTCATCAACAAACTTCTCAAGTTTATTGATTGTGAGAGATTTATGGATGTTAAAAAAACTACAACAATGTCACATGATGGGGAGGAGAGATATTTAGAATATTTTTAATACCCATATGTTCCAGATTTTTCAAGATTGCAAGTTAAAAAATAGCTGCAAGTTTCAATAGTGTATAAATCATACTTTTTTTTCTTAGATCTTGGATATGTGTGCAGCTCCTGGCTCCAAAACGGCACAACTTATTGAGTATCTCCACAGTACTTGCCAACCAGGTAAGATTTGCATGATTTAGCTTTATTTTAAAATGAATATGACGTGTGCAATAATTGAAGAAATTTTAAATGCTAGACAGTTTTAAACTTTAGTGAAACTTACATTATCTTATTAAAATCAATGCTCCCAACTCAGTTTGCTTTTGTTTCGGAGAATGATTTTACTCATGTAAATTGATCACGTTTACAGGTGAAATACCATCCGGTTATGTGATAGCCAATGACACTGATAACAAGCGCTGCTATCTGATGGTCCATCAAGTGAAGAGGCTACAGAGCCCATGTTGTATCATTGTTAACCATGATGGCACTTCCTTCCCAAAGATAAGAACTAACTCAGATGTGAGTATTATATATACTTTTTATTAAATTTTCAGTAGGTTCTTGAATAGGAATAATTTGTATATGTTTTATTGAAAACAATTTAATATTATACATCTCCTTCTCTGCAGTAATTCACTTTGACTCATTTTATACCTTAACAGAGTTTTGCAATAATTTATTTGTATTCTGAGGTTTTAATCTTAGAACATTTCAAACATAGAAAGCTTGAAAACTTTTACAACATTTAATTGTTTTATATTTCAGGAGAGAAATCCTGAATACCTGCTTTTTGACCGTGTTTTGTGTGACGTTCCATGCAGGTAATACAATCTTTTCTTAAGAGATGAGTTATTGTTAAATTTTGTAAAGCTGATACAAATAATTATTCTTTTCCTGTCAGTTTAAAATTTAATAATTATTAATTTATTAATCCTGAATTAGCACAGGCTAGAGGAAGGTTTAGATATATTTTTATCAGTTTCTTATGGTCTTTTCTAGTGGAGATGGTACAATGCGCAAAAACTTTGATGTATGGAACAAATGGCACCCATTGCAGGGAGCGAATTTGCATGGGTAAGATATATTCAAAAATGAAAAAAAAAAAAAAATTTGTATCAATTTGATGGAGTCCAGTAATTATCTATGCAATATTTTTTTCTGTCGCAACAAGCATATTATTCTTAAATTTATTCAAAACATACAATTAACCCTTGGCAGGCTTCAGTGCAAACTCATCCGCAGAGGATGCCAGCTACTTGCTGTGGGAGGCAGACTTGTGTACTCTACATGTTCACTGAACCCAATAGAAGATGAGGCTGTTGTTGCTGAGATGTTGCGTGCTTCTGAGGGTACCATGGAGCTAGTGGATGCCCATGATTTACTACCAGGATTGAAATTTACCAAAGGCGTTTCTACTTGGAGGGTAAAATAGTAAATTTTTATAATTTATAATTTCAAATGTCTGAATGGATAGAAATATTGATGTGTATTTTAACAGTTTGTTGGAAATGTATTAATAAAAATTTCACTGCCTTTGACCCAAGTCAATTTTTTTATATTTATACTAACTTAGATATTTCTATTACTAATTACATCTTAAAGATTTTTATCATAAAAAAAATAATGCCAAAAGAAAAAGAAAAAAATAATGCCAAAAGAAAAAGAAAAAAATATGACAGGTAGGCAATCAATAACTTAATTTTTAAGGAAAAAAGGGTGAGAACTTCAATCAAACTTACATTTTTTTTAATAGGTAATGACCAAAACTGGAGAATGGATTGAATCTGCTGCTGAAATTCCAGCCTCCATGCAGACCCAATATAAACACACTATCTTCCCACCAACAAAAGAGGAAGCAGAGAAGTTTCATCTAGAGAGATGGTGAGGGGCTAAGTATCCTGTATTGATGTTACTTTTCCAGTATATCCTCTAAGCTCTAATGACTTTTGTTTAAAGAGTTATTATATCCTTTAAACTTGAACAATGTTTTGAAAGTCATACAACTTGCCATCCACAGTTACTTTATATAGATTTATTGTTTCTGTTTTAGTTTGCGGATCCTTCCCCATCAACAGGATTCTGGTGGGTTTTTTGTTGCTGTTCTCCAGAAGCTTGGACATTTGCCAGGCTCCAGAGAAGCGAGATTAGAAGCAGAACAGACGGCAAATGGTATTTTTGTTCTCTTCACTGTAATCGAAGCTAAATCATTCCAATCAGGAAAGGTCCTTCTATTTCAAAGAAAGGCAAATGTATCAAAGATATGAAGGAATTCAACACACAATAATACTTGTGCCACTCTTGCACTACTTCATGTTTCTCTAAGTTAAATTGGCAAGACTTTTTATTAGACTGAGAAATAACTTTATTTAGATACCAGTACTCAAATCTTGGTTTTAGTTTAAAATTTTTGTTTTTTTTCTCAACATTAATTTCAAAATAAGAAGTTCATTAAAATTGTACATAAGAAAACGCGTTAAGTCAACCTCATTCTGTCCTTAATTTTTCTCATACATAGCACTTTCAGAGACTATTTTTTCTTAACTTAATTAAATTCAATATAATTTATTTATTAATTAGGGACTAATTTGCTCCTTCTTTAATTTTAACACTCATTATATTTTGAAAATAGATTGTGAAAGACTACACTTAATTAGCCTTGCAGGCTTCACTTAAAGAATCTCCTAAATAAATTAGCTTGTTATTTCTGGTGTCATAAATATATCACATTCAATTATTTATCAACAGGTCAAAAGGAAAAGGAGGAAAGACAAACAGATAAAACCAATGTTATAACAGATGCAGAAAAGGAGGCGGATATTCCCAACACTACTACAGATAAAGAATCGAGCGTTGCCACTGCTAATTCCTCTGAAATAAATCTTGGGGAGAAAAGAAAAGGACCAGCCAGTGGAGAAGAGTATGTCTATTATTATTATGATTGAAATAATATTAGATAGCTCTAAACATTTACCTTTTGATTTCCATTCATACATGCCTTAAAACAAAAATATTATGGTCGGTGTAGTTTATTAACAGTTAAGTGGGGTTTCAACTACCCTAGTTTGTGTTTGAAATTATAAGAATTAATATTTTTTCAGACCAAGACCCAAAAAGCAAAAGATCCATGGTTTCAGAGAAGACCCCTTTTTGTTTATGGACCCCAATGATGCAGAATGGAAGCCCATCAGGTAAAGCTCTCCAGAATAAACAAGGCAGTTGTATAGAAAAGTAATGATACTGTCCATAACATATTCTAAATAAAAAATGGGGGTATAAATAAAATACCTTGTTAAACATGACTTTTGGCAATAAATGATATAAATGGTAAAGGCATTCTTGTGAATAACGACAGCAAATAAACAATTAGCCTAAAACAAAAAATGTCTAAAACAAACCTTGTACCATCTTCCCTAGAAAAGATCACAAGAGGGTGATAGGGATACATGTAAACCTTTCTCTAGCCCGTGCTAATTCAAGGTTATTAAATTAAAATTATTAAATTTTAAGCTGAAAGACAAAGAAGAATTATTTGTATTAGCTTCACATAATTTAATTAAACAACCCCTAAAAACAAAGTTTTTATAAATCCTTTATAAAATGTAATATCAAGCAATGGGGTGGGTCTTAAAATTTGACAAAACATGCATACAAGTAACACACTGTATAAGAATCCCAATTAGTGCCGCCCCCTCCCCCCCCTCGCAAACGCTCATTTTTTTCACACCCCTGAACTATATCAATATTTTAATGACCACCCCGCTTTGGCACCAAAGATTTATTTAACAAACTACTTCAGAAAAGCAAACGATAATATCACGTACCAAATGCACTTGCAATATTTTTTTTTAAAGAATCTCATTTAGGGTAGTTAGGAATTTTATTTCGTGAAATCAGTCTCATCATATTTCTTTCATCTTCCCCTTGAAAAAGGGTGATATTTGGGGGTTGGGGCTGAAAATTTGATGGAGTGTGTGGTCATCTGCAGTGATTCTATGTGCAAAGTTTCAGCTCCATAACTTAAATTGAAGTGGGTCAATTAGCCGTTCCAAGATTTCATCAGTCTGCCACCCAGCCACGAACAAAAGCTAATTTAAAGGATTTAAAAATAACTCATCTCTTTAATTACTTTAAAAAAGATTGCATTACCTGCATGACACGTAACCCAAAACAAGGTCATGGGGAGAGGGGGTTGGACATCTGAACTAGCTCATAAAGTTACAAACTGTAAGTTAAATGAACAAAAGAAACATGAAGAAAAACACAACATTTTTGGGATATTTATCTACTTACATATCTACGCATAGATATGTCTGCTCGCTTTAATTGCCCTACTGATTCTCTCAGATATTTCTTTTTCTTCTATACTATACTATGATAGATTTTTACCTTTCTTTTTTATGAAATTCATTTAACTGATGTACTTAAATGATTATGAAATGGTGTATTGCTAAAACTAATGCACAAATTATTTTTTTTTTTCAACTGATAGACAAACTACAAAAGAAATAATAAAACACTCATTTTATTACCCAAAAAAGTAAATAAAGTGAGGTGACTTCCCTTTTAGTACTATTTGTTGCATATTTGAAAATTCTATTTTTAGTCCTCATTTAATTATGGAAATTGAAATACATTTCATTCTTCTGTTACAGATGTTACCTATTTATTTTACATAAAGAGAGAGAACACATTTGTACATAAAATAAAAATATGTTGCATGTATGAATTGGGCAATGTGGTGATACTGGCCTAAAACTATAAGCTTGTTCTAACTTGTGCTTGCTGCTTATGTTCAAAGCAATTATCTATATATAAAATGGCTGGTCAGCCTCATTAAAAAATAGAAATGCAGAAAAACATAAATAGATCCATTTAAAATATTTAATTGGTTTTAGTATATATACTATGGGAGGGTGCACTCATCAAATATTTGTATTTTAATTTTTTCTTTTTCAGAGATTTCTTTGGTCTGTCAGAAACATGCTCTGTCAATCAGTTACTCTTCAGATCTCAAACGGGTAGAAGATCTCTCTACTTTGTAACAAAAGCTGTAAGGGAGATAACTATTTATAATGATGATCATATTCGGGTTAGTAAATGTTCTTTATGTAAATAATACTTTTGTGTGAAACTGGATTGCTGTGTTATGTTGTACTATCTCTTACATTTACAATAAACTTTGATTATCCAGTAGCCATTTAGGCCCGTGCCATTTAGGCACAAGGCTATGGTGAAAAAATTGCACCATCTCTGCAGCTGTCTTTTGTTTGTTGGTGTAGTCTAGTATCTTTGGTGGATGGATTAGGCATAAGTCCTGAGGTGCAGACATGATGTGTTGCTTGTCTCATTCGGATGTCAGCAGAGAGGGGAACATTGATGTTTTATCTGGTTTCATGTGGTTAAGGTGGGTTTTAAGTTGTATATTTCCTGTGCCCTTGTGAAAGATTATGACCTGTTTGTGTTTTTGACGGCAATTTATAGGATTTTTTAGAGTTTGGGCATGTCTGTAAATACCATCTTCATGTTGAGCCCATCTATTTAATCACTCTGCTTTTTTGTTAGCTCTGTTTCCTTCAGTCTGAGTATGTAGGCATGTTTGGCTTTCATCAGATGCTCACTGTTTGGCTTGTTTGTTTGCTCTCTCATTTCCTGGTATATTGGGGTGACCTAGTATCCATCGTAAGGTTAGCCTGGCTGCATATGTTCAGACAAAAGGTGTTTATTTTCAGAAGTTGTGATTTTACTGTTATTGTTGGAAGGTCTTGATGCTTAGCTGCCAGGAGTATAGATTTGCAATCTGAGAAATTTTGCTGGAGTAAACTGAAAATTGCAGAGAGGTAGAGCTACTTCAATGGTGGTTGCTTTTGCTTCATAATTACTGCAGATTTCCCCACAGGGTTTGCAGAGTTTGTCACATGATCTGTCTAGGTACTATAAATGTTTGTTTTGGATAAGTCTTTAGGAATGATTTGCGAGTCTTCTCTGTCTGTTGGTAGGTGGTGTTTCTCTTCAATTTCGGAGGGCCCCATTTAGTATTGATTTCTGTTCAATTCTTTGGTTTGGTCTCCATTTTTCAACAATTTGTCAATATGGATGTTGCTTGTCTAGTCTTCTGTACCTTTCAACTGCCTGGATAACTGCTGCCTCTCCGTAAGGGTTAGGGGCTCAATATTAGTGTACTGCTGTTGGAGTATATCTTTGAGCAACCTGAGATGAAATGTCCTTCAATTTTTTGAGAGTCCTGTACTGCCTTGCTGCAAGTTGACTGTAGCACAAAACTGTATTCCATCACTGATTGCACATATTCTATGTATAATTGGCGTAGTGTGGTCTTGTCAGTACCCCGTGAGGTACCAGCCAGCCTCTAGATTGAGTTTTCTTAAATTTTAATTATAATTGTGTGAATTTAAATAACATATATTGGTTACTTAAAATAACATTGGGCAGACTGGGATTAAGTTGTAAATAAAAAATATGAAGCACAAAGATATGGAAACTTATTTTAAAAAATGATGAATGGGTTGCCCAAAAACTGGTATACTAGCAGATTGGATATAAACAGAAAGGGGGCTGGAAATATGTATTCACAAAACATAGTATTCTTACTATTTATTATGAAAAAGAAACAAACTGAAGAATATTTGGCATATTTCCTACTTGATTATTGGTGTATTAATTTAAACCCTAGATATCCTTTGTTTTTGCGTTCTTTTTCCATCCCTAAATTTGCACATTTTTCAGTTTATCAATATGGGTGTAAAGGCATTCAGCCGCAGTCCTTCTCCAATTGTTCCGGATTGTGACTACAGGATTGCTCAGGAGGTACATTTCTATTCTCAATTTAACTCAATAAAAAGCTAATGATTGTGTGATTGGAGTCTTTTTTTATTTAATTTTAAAAATGTTTTCTAGCTCTTTCACATTATTTTCCATTCTCTCTGCAGTGCCTGGGAACTTTGTTGCCCTACATAGCACATAGGAAAGTAAATGTAACAAAAGCTGATGCTATTATCATTATCAGCCAAGAAAACCCATTTATCGGCAAATTGAGTGAGGGAACCCAGAAACAGCTGAATGATATGTGTGAGTATTAAGTCTAACCCCACAGTGATATGTGTAAGTGTTGAGCTATAGCTTAGTGATTTGAGTACTAGTATATAGCACAGTGATATGTGTAAGTGTCGAGCTATAGCTTAGTGATTTGAGTACTAGTATATAGCACTGTTATATGTGTACGTTTTTAGTTATGGATTAGTGATTATTTTGGATTACTAGTCGTAGCATAATGATATCAGAGGTTAAAGCATTTAGACATGACATTTTTTTAAAGACATTTGTAAGGTTTATCCATACTTATCTAATTAAGATAATGTCTTTTTAAGATATGAATGTAGATTAAATCTCAATTTTGCTGGTGATGATTTTCCTATGTTACATTTAAATAGACTCTTGTTACACAAATAACTTGAAACATTATACAATTAAGCATATTTCTTTAATTTCTTTCAGCTCCTGGGAGTGCAATATTTGTATTCAATCCTTCTGAGCAGTAAGTTTTTATGAAAGCATGTTTTTTTATTGTAAATAATTTCAAATTACTTTTTAAAGATGATTGTGAATATGGATAAATTATTCCATTCCAATTACATTAAAACATCATCACAGTTACAGATTTTAATACAAATTTTAATAGAGAACCATCACCAAGTTGTGAAGTGGTTTTTTGTGGTTGGAGAGGAAAGAACTCAGTCAGATGTTTCGGCTCCAGGTGTGACAGAGCCCATGCCCTGATGCTTTTGGGAGAAGATTTGAATGAAATAAGTAAGTACTTTTGGAAGGAATATGTTTTTGTGAGATTTAGCTATCAGGCTTAAAATTATTATTTTTACATTTTGCTGAAATTGCAACCTAAAAAAATTGTGTTTAGGTGTAAATTCTGAACATCTCCACCATTATGTGCCTTGACTTAGTATATTAAAAAATATTTTTCATTTTAAAATCAAAGCCAAAAGTGTATCAAAGTCAATACCGATATGTTCAGAAGCTGCAATCAGTAATTTGATTTTTTAAAATTCCATGCTTAAGGAACACAATGTAGGGTATTGTGATATAATTTAAAAAGGGGATGTGCTTAAAACACTTTCATATTACAGACAAGAGAGTGGAAGCAGAGAAAAAGGCCAAACAACAAGGTCAAGGTGATGATGGGAATGTTAAAAGAGAAGAAACAGATGATATTAAAGTGGAGGTGGAAGATGACAAAATTTCGACAGATATACCAGAACTGAACGATGGAAATGGTGATATCACTGATGATAGCCCAAAGGAAGAGGTAGTTGATGGGTCAGGTGAACTGAACTGAAGAGAACAAAGTGAGGAGGAGATATCATCAGCCAGTTTTTACTTAATCTCAATTTTTTTTTTTTATGTTATGATAGTGTTACTTGAACTGTTATTTGTTGTTTTATTCTAATAATTTTTTTTTTGGTTATAGCTGGGTAGGTGGGACTCAAATAAAAAGTAAATCTATTGCAAAGAAATCATTCATGGCCTACATTTTACTTCATTTTTTTTTTTAAAATTTGAGGAGCACCTCTACATCTGAATAATCATATGAGTTAAAATTTCACAAATGATAAATTGCATTATTTTTATCCTCAAAAAATTACCCGATTTTATGCAAAAAAAGTTCTTTTATCTGGAAATAAATATTTTAAAATCAATTTTTAATTGCTTTCTCTTTTTTTTTTTGATAGTAAATATTTAGCACGCAGTGAATTTGCTAGTTTTTCTAGAGAAAGAAAGAAAAAGTGTGAACACATACAATCTCAATTATTTTTACAGTATTAATTATTTGTTAAATAATGTATGAATAATATTTCCTTGCACTAAAGAAAAATTAATAGTAAAGACATTCGACACTTGAAAATTAAAATAGACAAAACAAACTTGGTACTTGTATCATCAATGTGAGTGTTTCGTTGACTGATGTCATTAGCATTAATAATAAAACAGTCGTCGTGGAGTTTTATTACAAATTAATTTACTATTTATTAACATTCTGAATAAAGACTTAATTATCATTCATAAAAACAAAGTCACAATAGAAATAATAGTTAAATTTCACCTATTGCATAATGATGACCATCTTTGGCAAGGTGTCGCCCTCAATAAATATTCTCTCTTCGAAAGCCTGATCTCAGTTACAAAAAATATATTCATGATCGGAGTAGATAAGAAAATGTCAGTGGTTTTCTTTAAAGCTCATTTAATAAGGTTTTTTGTTCAGTCAAAGATATTTCCTGAATATATACCTCTGTCTTCTACTTCTAGCCACAATACCTTTTCAATAACGTTACAAAAATAGTATTTGATTAATTATTTTTTTAATTCCTTTGATTTCAAATTTGTTTCCCTATTCACAGGCAACTCCTCCTTAACCTACTAAATCTATATTTTAAAAAGATAGGACAATTACAATAATGTTTTGGCTAAAACTAAATCCCTTCTTCAGGAGACAAGAAAACATGAATAAATAGAAATTAAAAGCTAATGTGTTTGAAGATCTCAATGTAGTTCTCTCAGTCACTGAGCATTTTACAGGGGTTCCACTTCCCCTTTTGAGAACCACTGATTAACACGCTTTGTAATCTATTTCAAATGAATTAAAAAGAGGTAAAGTTTGCAGTATATTTTTAATAACAATAATATTTATACAGTGGAAAATATAAATGTCTGAAGAAATACAACTGCATTCAAAAAATCCATTTGGTTTAGAATTGAGTGAAAATTTATAATTTATTTATAATATAAATTAAAAGCTTTTATCCCAAACCCTTCAGAATGAAAGGCACATTTCACTCATGCTTAGCTTAAATTTGAAAAATATTTATGATAATAGTATATTTGCATTTAAAAATGAAAAATAATACTGGAACATTAGAAAAACATGTATTTTTTTCAAAATGTGGATAGAAAGTACAATACATGTATCTAATAATGAAGGTAAATTGAGGTACCGTAACCAATACATTTTATTGGTAGGCAAACTAGTAATAAATGCAATATCTAGACTCAATTTTCAGATCAATTTTTCTGCTCCAGTGTTTTACTTGTGGAGAGTACCAACTGTAAACAAGTATAATCTCAAAAAAATGCTTTTCATTTATAATCTCAAATTGTGTAAACACAAAAAAAGCCAAGGGGTAGTTGTAACAAACAGGACTATCATAAATATTCATTGCAATAAATGCTACTATGGCAACCAATGACATCCATAAGTAAATGATGAATACATTAATGACTACAAGACTAGGCTAAATTTTATCATAAAAGTGCATATAAATTTCAGATCATGTCACTTTGAAAACAATAACTACTATTTTACACTTTACATGAAAGAACTGTCAATTTTCATTATGTCCATAAAATTTTTGTGTTCAAATATCCGTTCAATTGCAATGATTCATGACATTTATAATTGAAATCTCAATACATCACTTTGTATTGAATGTAAACGACTATGAGCTGATTCCTCAAACGATTTTAAATCTATTAAAAATAAAATACTGTATTAAACCGAGGTTGGAATATGTACCACGCTGAATCATTTAACAATTCCATTTAGTATCATTTAACTTAAGAAAAAGTAATGGTTCTTTTTTTAAATAGTAAGCAACATCTAACTCCAAGAACATACTTGAGATGAACTGCATTGTCAACTTGTTGATGCCAGACTATGAATATTTATTAAGGAACTTGACATGGAAGTCTCCAAATCGATTCAGCATGTCAGCAATTTTTTCCACTGGTGGCAATATAGTAGTCCTAAACAACAACAAGAACAAAAATGTAATACCTTTTCTTTTAAAAAAAAAAATTTTAACTAAAACAATGCTTATATTATCTGATTAGGTACAATTTTTTTTTTTTTGACACATGAAAACTTATTTACACTCACCTAAAGTGCCATGTGCCTTCTTTTTGCCCAAAACCACTGCCAGGAACTACACAGATACCTGTCTCTTCTAGCAGACTGTAGCAGTAGAACGCATCAGCTGCCAAACCCTTGGCCTAGGCAATAATATAATTTTTGGCAATACATGCATAGGGAGCAACTTTATAAATATAAAATTTCAATTATGTCATACCTCTAGTATTAATTAAATAAAACTAAATAAAAATAAATTAATATTATTAAGAGCACTAAAAGATTAATTGAAACTTACTTGATAAATCATAGATAAGATCAAAATAATATTTTTTGTCTTCATAACGGAAATATGTTTTTATAAAAAGCATTTGAATACTCTTAAAAACAATCCCTGGTGCAAAGAAAAATCATGTAATAAAACAATTAAGTTAAAACATTTAATTACTTTCATTAACTATAAACTATATCAAATAAACTAACTTTTGCTTCTTCTACTGCCTTTTTTGGAATGTCTATGTTAGGAAAAGCATACATAGCCCCCTGTACAGGATTGCAAAAAATTCCAGGAATAGAGTTAAACATTTCTGTTGTCATGCGACCTTTTTCTGACAGCTGTCCAAGCACTGTGTCTTTTTGCTGGAAAAAAGTTTATAAATGTTTGAAAAAAAATTATTTCATAAAATAATTTAAAATGAAATACCTTAGAATTAATTTAAAAATTAGATGGCTATGTTTAGTATTTTATTTAGCATGCATATTAGTTTTTATATCAGTTTATTTTTTATTGAAGCAGGTTATTACTACCATAACAATATTTAAATGCATTGTCAATAGTAATTAAAAAATCAAGACAACTAAGCTTTAAAATAAATAAAGTAATTAAAACCATGTTTAATGATTCTTCATAAAAATACTTGTAAATACCTCCTTAAATAAGGCATATGAAGGTTCCCCAGGCCTAGGTGGATTCACTACAACATCCATTGCAGCCTAAATAAGGGTTAAAGTAGTAATAATGAAAATAATGCCTAAATAAAATAAAGCACTCTGTATTGTACTTAACTATAGGTACTCTAAATGAAAATTTAGAAGTAATACTTATCCTGAAATTGTGTCTATTAAACATCCTATTTATATCTCTAATAATGCCCAAAGGTCGCCAGAAATTCTGTGAAATTGATGATTTCTAATTATTTCAATGATAATAAAAATATCACTGCAATGTTTCTTCTGTTGCCTTGCGTTTTCACAAATGATATTTATAAATGTAATTTCCCTAAAGATACATATTTAATAATAAAGGTTAAAAAAAACAAGAAAGGGAAACTTAAAGAGTAACTTGGTGTGCAAAAATTGAGAGGAAATATCTCTTTTGGGGGTATGGCTAAGATGGATAGATGCTTCAGTAAAACAAAAAAGTGACATGCCTTCCTATAGCAGTTAAAGTTAAATGAGATATAATTTCAGAAAAAAGTTGCTGTGTAAAAATTTTTATGTCACAAATAAATATTTTTTTAAAATTTCCCCTATCTACACCCATAAGGTGACATTTTGTAACCTAAATCAACATATTAAAAAACTTCACTGAACGTTGAAGTTTATTATATGCTAGTTTACTTTCAAAGATAGAAAGTAATACGACAATCATAAAATTGTACCCTGCAATTAAAATTTGCCTAAAATGCTACAAGACCAATTTAGAAAATCAGCCAAATTGGGAAATTAAAATCAAATGTTTAAACAAATTAAATCAAACAAAATAACATTCAGTATAATCTAAACAGAAATAAAGCCCCATTTACCTGGCCAGTGACTGCAGAGCAGAGCTTAGCTGAGATAGCTTTAGTTAACATTGCTTTTACAGTCGGATCCATATTAATAACCTCCACATATCCACCTCGGAAACCACACCTGATAGATGCATGAGAACGCCAGTTATATTTAGTAAAATTTAATTATTAGATTTTTTTAAAAATACTCTATATAGCAATGTAACTTTTTTTTTAATTTTTAAAAAAGATTTAATTCATGATCCCACTTTCAATAAACATCTTCAAAATTATATGTTTTATATATATGTTTTATAAATTTATTATAAAGAATTTTTGTTGTCAGAATGGGTTCTTGAAATAAAATTTAAAAAGTGATATTTGCAATTTCTGCATGAATATTTTTTGTTAAAATTCGAATGGAATAATTTCAATATACAAATATCCAGAATAGATTAAATCTTAAGATTTTGAAAGCTTCAAAGTGCAACGAAAAGGAGGCTATTTCTCCAATTTGTTTCACACAAAACAAATTACAGCATTAATCTGTTTTTTTTATTTTATAACACACAAATAACACAATTTAATCTACCAAATAACTTACTCTCCCATATAACCTTTAGAAGTGGACATAAAAGATGCAAGCTCCATCTCACTATAGGGTGGTCCTAATTCTGTCAAAACTTTCTTAAAGGAATGAAATTTTGAATCCTCTGCATAAACATTGTGTTGATACACCTAGAGAGAGTTTAAAAATAAAAAGAGCTAACACATATTGTGTCGACAAAATCTCAATGAAATAAAAGATAAACCGGTATTTTAGTTTCATTTAGGAGAAGAATAAGAGAAATGAAGGGGAGGACAAAAGATGAAAAGTAAGGATAGTAGTTAAAATGAAATGGCAGTAGAAGTAGAAAGAGCTGGGAAAAACATAGTCAGAGTGGAAGACATAAAGAGAGGCATTGAGAAAGAGAATATAATAGGAAGTTTCCCTCCAGAAAAGTAGCGTGTATCCATTTTTATGTAAATGATGATTTAACCATTTCACTGTGGCGCAACCCACGCAACCCACAGTATGTTCATCCGCTGTGCTAAATAGAACGGACCATCACACTGTGTATTTTCCACATTAGGGTTGCTTCTTTGCTCTTTCTTGGGTAAACTTTGTTATCATTTGAAGCATTATTTTATTAATATTCTTCACATTTTTTTTTCTTTATCAATAATGTTGCTATGGCTACCCTCGGACCTAGTGTGATGAGTAAGTTTCCTAGCTCAACAAGCTTTGGAAATGTTTCATACTATTTCATCTGATAGTGAAGATGATTTAGATTTAGATCCAGCACATGATTCCGAAAGAGTAATTCTATTTTCTATGAAAGTCCTATTGAAAAAAATTACTTCACCATAACTCAATATCATTCTTACTTCATCAGCCATAATAAACAGGTTCTCCTCTTTGGCAAACTTGATGACATCTTCAATGTTCTGTCTTGTAAGGACCTGGCCTGAAGATAAGAGGTAGTTTTTGAAAAGACCTAGTAAACCAGCCATCACTTACATTATTTCACGACTTAAGATAAGCTGGCACAAAACTTGTGGTAAAAGGCAAACTTATCTCAATTATAACCCACCTGTAGGATTGCCTGGATTGATAATACAAATGGCCCTTGGTTTGCAGTATCCTTTGGCTTCAGTAACGGCCCGCCTAAGCTCCTCGACACTTAAAGACCACTTATCTGCCTCATTTAGATAATATCCTATCTGAAGAAATGGAAGCAATTTTAACAAAACTCATGTCAATCAAATTTAAACTTGTATAGAACTTCGAATATTATGCAGACTGCTAGCTTTGTTATTATTAATTATTGGCATTTATTAATTTAATAACGTCTTCACTAATATTAATATCTTAAAATTGGTTGATAAGAAATAAAATAAAACTTACTGGTTGAGCATTGAATTCTGCAATAGTTGCTGTATACAGTGGGTATTGGGGGATGGGGATCATCACACCAGCTCGATCTTTGCCCGGTAAAGTGGTCATTAGCAATTTCATAATATTCTAAAATCAAATTTGTTAAACATCAATTACATCTTACACTAGATTTTCTAAACAATTTTATTTATGCCTATTTGATAATTTAAATTGATTGGTTCTCATTGCATGTGGTGGATTTGCCAGCAACTGAATGTTTTATCAATAGTAAACATCATTTGTCTCTTTACGTTACGTTGAATAAAATACATTTTTCTTTAATTTTTATCATACCAATTTTTGTTTTCATGACATTAGTCACTAGGCTTGAGAGCTAAATTTATTTTCAATTTAATCTTTAGTTTAGCAGAAGCCTGTGTCGCAAGATCTCTAGATAAAACTTTCATACAGAATTTCTTCACATTTTTTTTAAAATGACTATTTCTCTCGGATTCAATCCTACTCTTGTGTCATTTAATGAATATACACCTTTATTACCATGGGAAATATCTCAAGAATAATTGAACATGATCTTATTTATTTTTAAAACCGTTCTTCCACTTAGCAAAGCCTAATTATTTTAAATATATATGATTCTATCTAAATGAATGTCCTCAATTTTTAAGTTTGGTAAAATTGAATCAATCAAAATATATTTATTTGATTTTATCAAAAAATTTTAAAACCTATTGTTTTAAAATGTATGGGCTACTTTACTCTCAATTATATCGTGATAATTAAAATTACTTTTTTTGTGGACTTAAATTGTTAAATAGCCAGGTAAATTTAATTATAATTTATTGGCTTCCTTATTTATTTCGATTAATTACTACTAATCTACACTCATACTCTGATAGCTTCACTGGCTCCTCCAGACAAGAAAATGTTCATGGGATCTGCTTGAATACCATCTCTCTGTGTGATATAGGCTGCAACATCTTCCCTTATAATTGGTACACCTGCACTATCACTATATGACCCTAATAATACAATTAAATATAAATTTCCACTATAAATATTTACTTATCACCATGCAACTAATCAAAGCTTATTTACTGCATTATTTTTAATCATTTATAGTTAAAATTAAGGTTTTTGATTAAATCAAAAAGATTTTTTTTTTTATTTACATATCATTCCAAAAACTTTTCCAAAACTACCTAAGGTTAAACTCAGCCAATTTGTCAAGATAGCCTTAAATTAATACAGCCCACTATAACTAACATGCCAAATAGAATACCTTTTTCATCTTTAAGTTTTTATTAAAAAATAAAGGGCAATCTCATCCATCTACTTGCCCAAATATTTTGACATACGAATTTAAACACACAACCTCCTAGTTATGAGGCAGATGCACTTTCACTACGAAAAAGTTCAGTCAAACCTAAACTTCTTCCTCCACAGGAACCAAGTATCCGATCAGCTCTTTGCTTAGCATCATCTGGAAAGCTGGGATCTTTCATTAATTTGGGGTACACACACATAGCAATCACCTGTTGAAGATAAAAATATAAATTATATATTTCATTTAATTTAGACATATTGTGGGGAGGGCATCCTTCCGTCTTCATGAGAAAATGGTGTAGATTCTGTATTATTTGCACTATGTTGATTGGGTTAACAGGTTAATCCTGGAGTGACAGTCTTTACTTTCACGTCTTGAAGGACAATGTTACCTGCTGATTTACTTTAGTCTTCTGTGTTGCTCTTTTTTGCTACATGACCTCCGTTTCAGGCATTCTCTACAGGCTCCCATATTCACTGTTGTTTTCCAGCCAGAATGGTTATCAGCAATAATCTCCAGTTTGCCAATTTTGATGCTGGCTTCCCTCTTGTTTCTTTTACTCACGTCTTCATATCACACCCATGGCCATCCAATAAGTCTTGCCCCCTCCACTAATTCTCCATTCATCATGTCCTTTGGAATATGGTCTTTCTTCATTCTCATTACATGGCCTAACCCATGAAATTGCCTCTTTACTAAGAATGGAGAACATGCTGCACATTTTAGAACATGCCAGAATCCTTGTGTTAAGTACACTGTCCTCAAAAGTGCAGAATGCACTGCAGACATTTTAGTTGGAAGCTGTTTCCATTCATGACTGGCATATGAGGGTCACACTTCACTGACATAGAAGAGTGTAACGATCACAGATGCTTGATAAACAACTAGTTTTGCACTTTGAGGGTGTTTAGATTGTTCCACACCTGTTTTAGTATTTAATCTGTCTTATGGGGAGGGGTCTTGATAGCTGCTGCTGCTGGTGGTGTTGACGTCTTTATCAATATATATTAGACATAAATAAGCATGAAGAATGCAATAATTAATTCAAAACTTTCTTTTCCTCTTGACAGTTTATAACAAATAAATTTAAAATGGATGACATTATTTCAATTTACCTGTCTAAGAAATGTTAATGGCTTTTGTCCAGTCGCATGACAGTCTCCAATATTAGCACGAATAACTTCAGTAAAGTTTTTCTTTACACCCTGAAAAATAATAGATATTTGAAGATTTTGTAAAAAAAATTCAAAGTTCCTATGAATATACTTAAAATAGTCAATTTTAAACATTTTAATTTTGATTATTAATGTGGGGGTGAAGGTATTTGGACCACATATTTGCTAAACAATCCTCGATATGACCATGCCTAATTAGATGACAATTCCAGTAGTTTTAATTTCTATACTAGTGAATATAAATTTAAAATATAACATATTCAAATACAATGTTGCAATTATAATGGCTTATTTATCTGGAATCTAATTTAGGTAGACCTTATTATAAAAATCATGAAGGCGCCTATCTAAAGGTTATTATTTGGCAAATTAGTAATAATTAGTGGACCCAGTATTATGAGTAACATTAGTTTTAGTGAGGGCTGTTTTTCCTTCTTGGAAAAAAATTCAAAAAGGCTAGTTTACTGAAGTTTAATAAGCTTTAGGCTTAGGAATGAACTTTAACATTACTATAAGCATACCACAAGTAAAAACATACAATATAGTTGTTTAGTATTTGGTTCAAAATCTGATAAAGCAAGTGAAAGTGCACTATCACTCTTTCAAGCAAGACTGCTTAAATTTTTTAATTTTTAATTAGAAGATTTGAAGACAATGCCATTTCAACTGTTTCTTTGAGTTAGTGACCAAGTTGATTATTTAGTTTTATGATCCTTGCTAATGGTCAAATTTCTACAGGAGCCTCTTTAATTAATTGGAGCATGTTAGAAAATTCTCATGTTTCCAAATATTTGTTTAATTTCATTTAATATTGTGAATCAAGTAGGACCTAAGCCTTGCATGCGAATTTACCCCTCTTAGGCTTATCTTCTAGTAGCCGATGTTGATCTAACAAATTTTGATTAAAATGACCTGATGAAAGAGTTAAAATAATCTGACAATAAAGTTATCTCAGGAAAACAAATTTACCTCAAGAAAGTCAAATATCGGTCTGAATAATAAGGAATTATTTCCGACCCTATTTCTCTGCATGAAAATATTGCATTTCAGGTTGTTGTTTTTTTTAATTTAAGAATGTCATGTTGATATACGCAGTCGACTGCGCATAACCCTGAGGGTTATTCACAGCCGACTGCGTATAACTCTCAGGGTTATACGCAGTCGGCTGGGAATTTAGCCAAATAAGGTTATCAATCGCTTGTTTGGCAATTTAAAAAAAAAGTATTATGCGTAATGAGCTGCATGATGGGTTGTTTTGAACTAGAACTTTTAATGTGTTTAACGTAAAATTTTAATTGAATTAATTTTAATTAATATTGAAATTGATGATAGCAATCGTATTAGTATTAGTGCTATTATTAGTATTATTGCTTGTATCTTATATATTATAATTCTAAGTATAAGTCAAAGTCTACATTTCTTAGAGTCTAAGCCTAAGTCTTAGATTTTTTTAAAGGCATTTCCATGGTCTAAGTCTAGTTATGTATTTTGATTGATTAGGTTTTTATATGTTACTATGACTATGTCTATGTGGTTGGTTTTACTGACTAATTCAGGAAATACATTCTATTTATCTTTTTTCAAATTTTATCATTTATGATTTTTTTTTTTGATGACCTAAATGTAACAGTTTTCAGCTTCCATGCAAAACTATAACTGTGTGAAAGTATTACTTACACTGCCTCTTCTACAGAACCCCCTGCCCCTACAGCGATTTTTATCCTGCTACTCTCAACCCATGATTATTTTTATTACTGTACCAGTGAAACATGATTTTATCTGCCACAAAATTAGTTAACAACACAAACATATATTTGATAATTATAAGTATAACAATATTAACATTAGATTGGTCAAGTTAATAATTCTTCTCATGTTTTAACATTTTTTAGCCAAAAAAAGTATAACAATAAGCCTAGTTGTTGCTTCATTCTCGAGAAAAAACATAGCAACCAACGCATAATCATGCTTGTTATTCATGGTTTGCCGTTGGCTGGAATTGAACTCAAGACCACCAACTTGAGGTTTGGTCAGTTTAGACCATTGGACCACACAGTCACCCCGATATCAAGGCACCCTTATTGATTGATACTGTAACACAGCAAGAATATAGACGTCACGTGACTTGCCGACTGCGTATAACTCTCAGGGTTATACGCAGTCGGCTGCGCATAACCACGTCGTTTGTTTTTTAATTAAAATGTTAATAATAAATGTTACAAAAATATCAATCTTTGAATCTATTCTATAATACATATTTTACATTTCTGCAGCGCTGACCATAAACTCTATGTTTTTCAGTGTTTTGGAGAATTTATAATTTATCTGTGGTGTGGCACACCTACTTTCAGAGATCTGCTACTTATATTCACTTATGATTAATAGTTATAGTTATATTCTGTAGTTTAATCATTATTAACTTATTATTATAAGTATAGTATTCACTATTTTAATTTAAGCATATGTCAAACTGAACCTAATTTGAAAATGATAATAATTATTATAAATATAAACAACTATTAGTATTAGTATCAGGCCTATGACTATGATGCAGCACTATGCAGCAGCAGATGCTTCAAATCTTGAATAAAAAGAAATACAAATAATCAATTGTCATTAATCATGAATCACAATCACATTGGTTGTTGTATTTGTATTGTATAGAATACTGAAAATGAATGTAATGTAAATGAAATAATGCAAAAACCTGTTTGAGTTCTTTCTCAATTTCTCCTGCTCTTATTACTATTGGACCCCTTACAGCATACTCAATGTTTTTAACATGTGGATTCATAGTGTCGACTGTCAAAACCTTGGTCCTCCTGAACTCTTTTCCAACCACTTCAGATCTGCATATTTCCTTTAAATGTCTACAGCTCGAAAATTCAAATACTTTTTTTGCAGTCCGCAGCCTCAACATTTTTGCTAATTTTATTTTTAAGAAACTGTGAACAAAGGTTTAACTCCAATAATAGACCAAATTTAGCCGCTATTGCACTTAAAGCACAAATTAGATATGTTTTCTGTTCACTCTGAGTAGCCTTGACTTAGTCTCAAAATGCATACCGCCATCACTAAACAAACAAACTGCGAGTTGCACTTTTTTTTTTAATCATCTAGTTGGCAAATCGGGTCATCAAGGGTTGGAAGGTCAAAGTTTGCAACCTACGACCCTCTTATTTATCTATCTCCCTTCACGTAATGCTCCGGAAGTGGCGGAGTCACTCAAGATGGCGCATGACAGTGAATTAAAAGAGATAGGGGTGAAATAAAATTATAAACATCCCCCCTTGATATATAAATACGACCAGGAAAGAGACAGTTAGCCATGTCACAGTGCAAACAGAGTGCAAATGAATTCATCCAGAGTACATTTAGTCCACACATTGCTGTACTTTGCAGTTCCGATGCACAGTTGTTGTGTCAGAAAAATAACCTGAGTTTTGTTCAGCTGATTCAACCATTTTGTCGTTTATCTTCAGAAGGTAATAAATTGCATTGATTCTTTGATCAATCGTCAAACTCAAATACTCATTAGACTTCACGTTCCGCTTGTTAATCTCAACTGCCCATCTCATTATGAAAATGTAGGGTATATCTGTAAAATGTATTATTAATTATTATAAATAAAGTAGGCCTCCCTAGGCCCAGAAGTGGCCATGATTTTAATCATTATGAATCATGAGGCCCAGTGAGGCCAAGGCTGACAATTGGGCACTTGTTCAGTTTATGTTACAGGCTCAGACAAGAGTTAAGAGCAATCACATAATGGTAGGCCTACACTTAAACATTTCTGGACACCCACCCTGCCACCACCCCCACCTTTATTTTTTCAAGACACAAAAGCAACGAAAACAAATAATTTTCTGAGGGGAGACTCCTCCCCCCACTTTTGACAAAATTGAAAAATTATAATTAAAAATTGTATCAAATAAATATAGAGCCAATAATTGATATCTTTTGAAAACAGAACTATGGTCGGTAGTTCAGCTGGCACCTGGGTGAACCTCCTTAACCTATATATATTCAGTGGAATACATCGCCAGCTGTACCACAATTCACAATCTAAATTATAGCTGACAATTAAGCTAATAATTAAATGCTAAACTAGTAAGCTTCTGCTGCCTAGAGACCCAGATGCTAGAAAAGCCTAAATTAGGGTTTTCTAACCTTGTATGCTCACAGCCCCATTCCATCGGGCGAGAGATAGCATACCAGTGGTGAGATGAAAAGGGATTATAAGAACAGAGGAGACATTTTATGATATGAAATGAATATTTAACTTCTTCTATTCTTTTTAAATTCCTTCATTAAATTTTACTTGATATAATCGCACGTTTTTTTTTCCCTAAGTTCTACGGTTCTCTGAACTATTCCATTAAAAAAAAAATAAATTAGAAGTCAATTTGTTCATATTTTAAAATACAATTTTTATTTTTTAAGGGAGTGGGTGGTGTGTCAGTGTGAAACTTAGTCAAACAATTCACTTTGTCTAACAATTTGTAGGGGATGCATAGTATAGAAGAGTTTGTGAATCACTGGCCTATCTATTATCTCAGTCTATTAATTTAAAAATTAAATTTTCCAGTTCATATTCGAGATGCCAACAATGGCACACATTCCATTCACAATTTGCGCATCAGTGCCTGTGATATGGCAGCGCAGCCGTTGCAGCAAAATGTCATTAAAAAGCAGCTGAGTGATGCTGTGGCATCTACACATGGTCAGACTCAAGAACCTGGTGCAAATGACAGGATTTCCATTGGTAACTACGATCTTCAGTTGAGTTGTAAGTCAACATTCATATTATTTTTTAAGTAAAAGATACGATTTTCACTCAATTGAAAATTATTTGGGATTGAGATGGAAAGAATGTTAGAGGTCATTTTAATGAGGTTAGTTAATTCATACATTTACAATCCAAGTCTTTGCTTTCAACTAAGCTCATTGTATTTCTATGGAGTCACAGTGGTAGTATTACAATTTTAGATGTAAGTTAATTAATTTCTTATTTAAATATTTGTGTATGAATTTTTTTTTTCAAACAGCATCCAGTCCTTGGTTTGAAAGCTGGAGGGAAGCATTTCTTCAAGTTCTACCACCTTCAGACCACGAATATCTAAATCACTGTTTATCATGTATCCTTGTAATTGTTTAACTTAAAAACTGTTTACTTGAGATCTTATCAAAAATCATTTTCCTTAGCCATTTGTAATTTTAATGCTCTTAATGCACATTGCATGAATTAAAGTTATGTTATTATCATTAAAATTTACTAAATGTGTGCCTATTTATATTTCTCCTACCAGTGATACAAAAATGTGTATATAACATAGGTCTATATTTTGCTGTACAATGTTTTGTACAAAGATCAATTACCAATGGCTAATTCCGTCCAACTTCAGGATGCTATTTTTATTTTAGTGAATGTCTGAAGTGAGCGTATGTATCCCACTGCACTTCTGTGGACAACTGATTTTAATCTTCTAAGGAAAAAGACAAATAAGTTTTATGAATTGAAATAACAAAAAAAAAAGATGTGTAAGTTGTATAACTCTAGTTCATACTGCCATTCCTTTCTTTATTCTGTTAAGTTGCTTTGCAGCAAATAGCTTTTCCTTTACCCACTTGAAGGCATATTTGTAGTGGCATCCAGCAATGGGGACCCACTCAGTACATTTACATCTCTTGCTAACCAGCAAGTGTCACAACAGCAGCAGTTTCCTAACAAGTTACCTCGTTGGTTTTGCCAAGGTATTCTTCATTACTATGTTCTACTTCATGATGTTGTAGATGGAGAGCAATCAAGGTGAGGATTCAATTCTGTATGGTCACTCATCCTCAATATGTAGTTTATTCTATTTATATTATATGGTGCTTTACATTATCATTAACTTAATATTCTGTGTAGTGGCATACCTAGAGGAGGGGGTCCAAATTCAAAAGTCCCCCGGGCCCCTACTTAGGGGGGCCCCCAAAGGCGTGTCCCAATTTTTTTTTAACATTAAATAATGTTGAATGTCAAAATGCAGGTGCCCCTAAAGAGGCCAAGGCCCCCCCCCCCCGCCCCCAAATCCCTAGCTACGCCACTGATTCTATGTATTAAAGTTAATTAAATAACAAAACTATTTATTTTTATATGCATAACATTAAAACTTTACTTTTATAATTATGTGCTTAATCTCATATCTGCTCCATTGTTGACATTGTTAATCTCATGCTTTTGAAAGAGCTGAAGCCATTTACCAGAGCATGAAGGCAACATTCGGAGTCCACATCTGTCACTTGCTTCAAATCAATTCAAAGTCTAAAAATACATTGGACTCAATAAGAACCGGTGTCGCACTTCAGCCAGATCCCTGGAGTCAGTTTCTGACTAAGCCATCTCAGTCTCTGGTAAGCATAGCTAAAATTTTGCAGTATAATATTTAAATATCATTCAGCTCTCAAGCATTTCATAATATATATTTATTTCTCCTTTTAGTGTTTTGGTTTTTAAAAAGTTATTGTGACAACAAATAAATAAATAAGCACTACGTTTTAATTCTCGGAATTTTAAAACATATTTAGTGTACCAGACCTGTTTACTCTTACGATTTTGGCGTACAATGTACGATTTTGAGATGTCTTTTACGATTGTACGCCGAGACCCGCCAAAACTACGATTTTCAGAGAGCCAGTGAAAAAAAAAAAAATTCAAATTCGTTTGTTGAAGTTTTAGCCTTTTCCAATAAAAATCTACTGGTGAATGGAACGAGAAAAACGATTGGTTGTAATTTTTTTTAAAGTTGGGACCATCCTTCATTATATTATGTGCGCACTGAGAGGGGAGGTGGGGGGCTGTTAATGAAGGAGATTTGCGGCATACGGGACGCATGGGTGGGGGGGGGGGTTGGTCGGAGTGTCAAAGGTTATAAAAATATCACCGCAAAGTATCGTATTGATGGCGATGATTGTCATAGTGTTGCTTTGTGTGTCACACTGAACTAGTTAGCTGCGTCACTGGTAATATTTATAGGCCTACTATTCACCACCATGCCCCCTTTGACTGCTACCAAGCTTGTGACGTAGTTTTGTTCCCTTGAACCGCGGCGATGGTGAAAACGGAGAAAACTAGAGACGAGACGGTTTTGGGGGGGGGGGGGGCAGCTAGTTAGGGGCGCCAAAATGTGATTTGATATATTATTGGTAAAAGCAATGGGTTTTACAGTTGAAAAAAAGAAAAGGGGGCGCTTTAAAATGGATCTTGTCCCCGGGCACGAATCTTGTCCCCGGGCGCCAAACACCCTCGCTACGCCACTGCTTGAACCGCAGCAATTGTGAAAACGGAGAAAACTAAAGACGATACGGTTTTTACAATAAAATAATATGTGTAGAACTCGCAAAGCAGCTCTTTACCTCAGCGATCGTAATACGACAGTTTGGTATCACTACTAGTACTGCCCCCCATCCCACCCCTTTTTTTTAAAAGGAAAAAAATCAGACGACAGCTCAATTTTTTTCCCCAGTAATGAGGGGGGGGGGGTGGTTCTGCCCGGTGGAAATAACTTTTGTCACCAGCACGGAAAGTCGAATTACTGACTACAGTGTGTTAAAACTATGTCATGTTCAATTTTACAACTACAGGGATCTCTTTATGAAAAACACAAAGCATAAGTAGCTTATATGAGTAGGCCTATATGCAGTGGCGTAGCGAGGGTGTTTGGCGCCCGGGGACAAGATCCATTTTAAAGCGCCCCTTTTTCTTTTTTTCAACTCTCAAACCCATTATTTTCATCAATAAAATAATATCAAAGCACATTTTGGCGCCCCTAACTAGCTGGCGCCCGGGGACATCTGTCCCCCCTGCCCCCACCACGCTACGCCTCTGCCTATATGCTTACTGCGAAATATTGTAATATTTTTTTATAGCCTTAATAATAATAATAATAATAAAAGGCCTAATTAGAATTCACAGATTTTCAGATGACGGTTGACTCTATAAGAGACAGGTTAATTATTGTATGCATAAATGTAGGTGCAGTCTATTGACCCCCCACCCCCCCTTGTCATACGCATCCTCAGCGCGTACATAATACGTAATGGTTAGATGGCCCTTTGGTTTACGCAATAGTTAGATGTCCCTTTGTTTT